TCTAGTCACTAGATATATCTACGGGCTTACTTCGAAGCTTAACGAAGGTTTTGGATATTTTCTGGCAAAACTTCCGGCTACGATAACTCTTAGCTCCGGTGATTCCACACCAAATTGACAGCACCACAACACTCCTTACACTCAAGGCTACCTCTTAGAAGAAATTTGAGGGAGAATGGTGAAGAAATGAGGAAGAGAGGTCTTCCTTATATATTGGTGAAGAAGAAGAAGCTAATGGAGTTGAGTCAGTGGTGACTCACGATCGGCGAAATGGGAAGGTCGGCTGATTTAGTCTGATTGCTACGAATCTTCCCTGATTGGGACTAATTTGGTCCCAGTCGATGTACACTTTTTTGTCCAACTTTCTCCGAATTGAATTCCGTTTGCACCGTTGCGATTGGACAGTTAAACTCTATCCAACGATATAATTTTTTATATTTGTTGGTTATACTTTTTCTGACATCATATTTTTAGGTGTTTGACTTTGACAGAGTAAAAATTGATTTAGCTGATCTTTATTCAAAAAGGTTTCTCACATTTAATTCATATCATTTGTTCTAATGATTTATTTCAACAAATCATTTCAATATTCACATTCTAAACAAATTCTTTATTTACTCTTGATTTGGGTCTGTACTCAGGTTCCGAATCAAGACCTCACAAATAGTCCACATATTGGATTTATCTCTATGAGACTTATCCAGATTTTGATATTAGATGTCAAAACAAATTTAATATCGGCCCAAAGCCCAACAATAATTTATTTTAATTGAAACAATTGTGATTAATTGATTATTTATTCATTAATAATTCTAGGGTATGTTTTGGGGCGTTACAGGAGTTGATTGGGGTTTAATGGCATGATTTGTGGAAATCAAATCAAAGTTGGTCTATAGAATTTTAGCCTAACATCGCTGTTCATATACTGAACATCGCTGTTTTGGCTTTGACTTTCCTTTAAAAATGGCTAACGGTCATCAAAACATCGATGTCTAAAAGTCTACACCGATAGCCCAACGGTCATTTGAAAACATCGTTGTTCAACAATGAACATCGCTGTTCAAAAACCTACTGCCCAGGACTTCTGAATACCAACATCGCTGTTTGGA